TGCCAGTAGCTCAAATTGTGCTCTATATTGTTGCGTCAGCGAGTCACATGACTAGTGTGACGCCACGTTTCTAGAACTATCCCGTACCTTGGCGAATGCTCTAGTATGTACTAGATATAGGGTAGTCTGGTATATAAAAGAGGGTGACAACGTGACGGGGGTAATGAGGTAATGTGTGTGTAGATAGTGAGTAATTGAACTGCAGTCAGAAGTATTATATACGTTCGTTGATATAGCGTTTGTTTTAGCGCGATTGTTGAAAATAAGTGCATCGTAAAGTTGTATTTGGAAAGAATAAACCAGTTTTATTAAGTAAGGACTTGTGTCGCTAAGTTTTGTTGGGACGAAGTTACATAACAAACGCTATAACTCTCAACGAACTTCTCATGTGCTCGACAATACTCAGTGCAATTACACATATTGTCCCGTCACGTTGTGACCGTCTTATATATACAAGACTAACACATATCTAGTAAACGCTAGGGCATTCATTAAGGAACAGGATATTTCTAGAAGTCAATGACGTGTTACTAGGGTCACGTGACCCCGATGTCGTAACAATATTTATCTTTTAATTTACGTGAAGAAAACCCACAGTATGTTCTTATAAGTACAAATATTAAAACAAACGAGTTGTATTGAAATTATGTACTTTTATAATTCATTATAGCTTAGTCATTCTCTGTCTGATGATAAATTTCAACATTTGATATAAACTTCAACTTTTTCCAGTACAAATTATTTAATAAATATAAAATCCTTCACAATTATGCCCCTGTGTTTTTATCTCCATACTATTCAAATATATGTAATACCCCGGTATAATGCGCATGCGTATGGCATAATCGAGGTAATCGTCCAAATTAACCTCTTACTGTTATTAATCTTAGCTATATTTCTATTTGTATCTTACTTTTAATTTATATGAGTTAAGCAAGATTTTAAAGGTAATACTAGAGAAAGTTTTTCGTTATTATGCCAATTTAATATTGTTTATTTTATATAGTAAAAATAATTTTGTGCGTGTACTTGTTTCGATTCATAAATAACGCTTCTTTCAATTTCAATTGGCAAACGGGCACCATGCGAGTTATTCAAATAAAAAATAATATGTAGTTATCAAACATATCGTTTCTGTAGTGTTAGTGTGATCGTGATTTGTTGTAAATATGAGGAGTGGAATTCTCCGAAACTAGTATAACTCAGTAACACATGTTGATCAAATTTAAAGTGTAGACTGAACTCAGACTTCGAAGTTTGAGATTAAACAGTTTTCGGAATACTTTTATTCATTAATTTTTTAAATTAAAATGTTAATTAATCGTTGTACTAGTTTAGTAGTTGTAGTACTAGAACTACTAGTAGTAGTACGCTGAATCCAAAAATGATATCAATTTTTCTCCATCACATACAGATTTTTCACAAAACATCCTTACGTAATACATAAAAGAATGGCCACAACACGTAGTTTTGAGACTAAAAGATGTATGTTTCACACAAAAATCAGGATGAATGAGGATGCATATTTGTTTGACATCAGTGATCTTTCCATTTTTTCAGTTTGTATTTTTGTGTACAAACATAAAAAATTTTCATTGTGGTAAAAGAAATAATAATTTAATCTAAGTTAATTTTTTCTTCCTGATTTGTAAAAAATTCTTACTTGATAGAAAAAAAAGAGCATTATTTTCGAAATCATCATAGCTGAATTATGGAAATTCCGTTATTAAGAGCAAAACAACCTTTATGAAGTTTAAATGTGCAGGCTGGTGTAATCAGCCCTACAACTGTAACCAATAGAGAAAAACATAATCCTCAGTCATAACATGTTTAAAGAGTTGTTAAAGGTGTTCTTAATGTGTTACTACTCATATTGCATTTAACATAAAATCACTTTATTCCAGATGTCACTGTCTTAAAATAAAGATGTGGAAAACTCCAAAAAGATAAACTTAAAGTTTATAATTTCATATGAAGGTTATCAAGATAATGTAAATTTTGAGAATTGTATTTATTTTGTAAGATTTATATAGGACGTGACTTCTATTTGCAAACTATTTCTCTGTATTCTTAACTGTATTTTTTTTTTACAGAATATAAAGGTGAAGCTTCTATGTAATCATGGAAGTATTGAAGATGAAGGTTGAACCTTTTTCTGATGAGAAGCAGGATGATTTATTGAATATCAAATTGATGAAAAAGGAAGATGAAACTTTCACAATAACTAATAGTAAGTCTGTATATTTAGTATTTTAATGTTTTGTGTTCTTCCCAACATAATACAAATAGTAATAGTGTGAATATCACCTGTTGTAATTTTATAATATGCTTTAAATTTTCATCATTAATTGGAAATTTCTTGTCTTGAGGATTGTTTCCTCTCTTAGGGTTTTATATCAGTAAGTATAATTAGGCAGCATTCTCTTGATTATTTTCATCTTTATATGTCAGGAACCTGAATCCACTAACATTTTTGTAATCTTATTGTATACCATCACCTGTAATTAAGGTTAAACTTGAGTACTTGCATCATACTTACCAACAATTCTTCACATACCCTCCTTCCAT